TTCTTTAAAAACCCAGACATATTCGCACCATCATTATCTTTTGAACGATAACTGCGAGTTTGAATGTCCTAGTCCGAATGCACTTGATTTGGCGGCGGTCCCGATGAGTCGTACTCAATCGAAACTTCAATTCAAGAAAAACGCGAAAAACAGTCTTGGTTAATAAAACACTGTAGATTTGCTGCATTATTATAAATATACACTAAAAATGGCCAAACATGTTAACCACTGATATCATAGAGCTCATAAAGAGTGTTAGATAATGAATAATTTCAAACTCAAGCGTGAAAAATGAAGAAAACTGCTGGCATTTGAGTCCCCACTCCAGGAACGTTCGGGTTTCCATTGTTATGCAAACATTACTTACTTACATTACCCTGAGTCAGTTATACTTGCAATGATTGACAGCCCTTTAGAAACCCCACATGTCTTGCTGCTACTGCACATAACAATGTGTAAAACCTCCTATTATCTGCGTAACAAGTAGAATAACTACTAAAGCAGAAGTCAAGCCCCAGGCATGCAGGGCTGACCTATTGAAACAACATGCATGTTGAGTTAAATAATATATTTCAATTTTTAAACATTTTCAGACCTGAGCCAAGTCACTGAAATAAACACATAAGACCAGACATTTGCTTTAAGACAGTTCAAGCTGAAATCAAATTTGGCCCTATTTACCATATAAGCACATATAAGCAATGCATTATGGGAGAGAACTAAATGTTGCACTATTGAGCATGTTACTGGGCATATATGCAAAGCATTGTGGGAGAAACCTCTTGTATGCAATGGAAAGCTATTATTATACTGGAAACTTTTTGAAATATTTTAACAATATTTTCATATCAATAATTATACAGGGTTCATACTCTATTTATTCTCGAAAAACTTTTTTTTATTTCCAGTACCGTAAAATCTGTATTAGAAGCCGCATCCCTAATAGAAGTCGCACCCATTCTTTTTGAATAATTGAGAACCAAAAAACCATCATTTCTCATATGTGTAGATGCTCTAATAGAAGCCGCATTTCCTTGGTTGCATTGTACCATTTTAATAGAAACCGCGGCTTCTAATACAGATTTTACAGTAATAATGTTTGCAAAAATTTAATCTTCAACTTGGTTTCAATCTCCATAAATCTTTGAAGGAATGAACAACTATGAACGCAGGCATGTGCATATTAATTAGGTAATTTGCATATCATTAACCCTTTGAGCACTAAAGTCAACTTTCGTCATTATTCACAAAATAGTTCTATATACCGTATGTGCATATTAATTAGGTAATTTGCATATCATTAACCCTATGAGCACCAAAGTCAACTTTTGTCACCATTCACAAATTAAAAGTGCAGTGTTTTCAATATTTTTAAAAAAAATTCTGATCAGGACAGGCAGCCATGATTAGGAGATTATGTTCCTGTGGTCCAAAATTAAATTTTTTTTTTAGAAATCTGGAGGGAAAAATTATGGTACTCAAAGAGAATGTATATTGGATCTCTGTATATATCTTCACATTTAGTATAGATTCAAAGTTGAAATACTGTTAGTGTAAATGCATTCACTACTCTAGGTTTTAATTTCGCTATTTTTCGCTGATGAGTGAAATTCGCTAAATTAAATCTACGTGAACATGCAAAATAACAATAAACCTCTTTGTTTTCTTGTCAAATTTGTGAAATTAAAACATAGTGAACATGCTCAAAACATCCAATAGTGAAATTAAATGTCAGTTAAAATAAATGGTTCTACAGTACTCACCTTAGGCTCTGTTAGAAGTGAATGGTGACCATCACTTGGTATAGCAGATCTCTTGCTAATTTTTGGATGTTGAAATAAATAATGATCGTCTAAGGAACCAATCTGTAAAGAGAAATAAAAAATACCAGAACTGTTTGAAAATTGATGATTGGATTATGAATTAGTAAATATTACTGTCTAGTCTACTTTGTTTACTACAGCTGCAAAGATACGTGAACAATATTGGGTCCCAGGGAAGCATCGCCATGTAAACAACACACTTCGACATTGGGTTGTATGCAAGATAGACTGTTTTATATCACCTCCTGGTATGTACGTGCTATGTAGCAATGCTCACATTTCTACATGTGTGGTACTAGTATAAGAAAGTCTAGGCTACACGCCAACACTATTATACACAACACACCAACAAATTGCCTTTTTCAATAAATATAATTTCTAGCAACTCAAATCTGGATTAAATTAAAATTTAAACTACTACAATTTATACCAACAAGTAAATGCAGGATGGAACAATCAAAGTTATAAGCGGAAATCCATGTCGAGGCTGAATGATTGATTCGTTTTACTTAAGTTGAAGAAAAGGCTTTCAGTTACATGACGTGACATTGGCAAGCGCCATTATACTGTTCCCTACTGTATATTTTCAAGAAGCTGAGGGTATAATAAATTGAAAATGACAGCAAGAAATCATTCAACAATTATTACCATAGGTTTACCAGTATCCAGTAATCTACTTTAATATAATAATCTAATACTATTATTAGTGAATAATGAATTTAATTTCTTTTTACCTATCTGTTGAGTAGATTAATTAAGACAGTCAAGTGGCCATGCATGATTGATTTTTACTGCTTTTATGACCAGTGGGAATTTGCAGTGGATGGCGTTATTCTGCCAAGATGGAAGTCATTATTAGTCGACTACCGAGTAACATCAACAACATTCATTTACAAGGTGACAGCAATCAATTCATAGAATCCTACAAACAATTGTACAAATTAGGACCCAAGATTGTACGTATTAAATTGTCTGTTTAATCTGTGATCTGTTCTGTCACTGTAATTAATTCATTCATTTATTATTTCAAATTGCGCCTTCAGTGTTAGGTATATACAGAAAAATTAGGCAGCTTTGTGATGGGTAAAAACAAAATGTCAAGATCAAAAACAAAGCCTCCATGTTTTAACTTAAGCAGTTGGACATGAATTAATTAGATGATTTTAAAACACTGCCTTAGTGCAATATGATAAATTTTCAATATTAAATATTAAATAGTATT